GCAGAGGGATGCCCTTGGTGTCAGTGGGCGGGAAGTCGGCGTATCCAGGCCGATGGGATCCTGCCATGGACCATGGTGCACCAGGGCAGGAATGTCTTATTGGATTTCAGTCTGAAGTGGAGTGGGGTCTTGGGGTCTGAAGTGCCTCTTGGAAGCCAGAAAGGTCAGTTTATATCTGCGGCAGGCCCAGTCCAGGACTGTTTGGGACAGAACCAAAGAAGTGAGGTAGCCGCTTGCAAAGGACGATGCTCAGTTGGAGACCATACCTCATTTTCTCATTTGTTCTCCACATTTCCTGAGCACCTGTGTGCTAGACACAGTGCAGGAGGCGAGGGGACCCACGTGAATGAGAAGCCACCCCGTAGGAGTTCACCTTCTGCTTGTGGGAGAGCATGATGGGGACGAAGCAATGGCAGCTCTGTGGCAGCTGGAAGTAGAAAGTGATAAAGCAGGTCCTGGGGATATATAGCCTGGTGAGGGGCCAGGGGGTTGGGTAAACACTCCAAGGAGAACAGCTTGAAGGCAGGGATGAGGAGGAGGGTGTTTCAGGTAGCCGGAACAGCATCTGCAGAAGTGGGGAGAAGGGAAGCAGTGTTCTTCCTTCGAAGAGTGGGGTGACATGCTGTTGGGGTGGCTGTGAAGCCAGAGGTGGTCTATATCTGGAGAGGACTCTGTGGCCCCAGGTGGAAACTGTTCACCTGTCTCTCCGTTTCAATGAGAAATTCCAAGAAGGTCACGCATGCCTCCTTCTCAGCTTAAGTTCTTCAGTAGCAATTACTGCTCACTCTGCTTATTGATGAGGGCGCCTGGGTGGCTCAGTTGGTTAAGCGTCTGCTTTCAGCTCAGGCCTGTGATCTCAGGGTCCTGGGATGGAGCCCCACATCGGGCTCCCTGCTCAGCAGGGGAGCTTGCCTCTCCTTCTGTCCCTCCCCCCACTTGTGCTTGCTCTCTCTCAAAAATAATTTAAAAAAAAATGCTTCTTGATGAGAAACATCGATTGCCCACGTCGTCCCGCCCTTGCTTCGTCTCACTAGATACTACTCGATGGCAGGGCAGGTGACTCACTTTATGGCCTACATCTGCCCTCGAGCCTGAGGAGACCTGCACGCAAATCGGAACCTGGTTTATTCTCCTGGTGGCCCCTGGAGTGAGTCTGTTCTAAGGCTGTCATTGTGTTTCGTTGGGTTTGGGCGTGGGAGCAGGTTTAGTTGACGCAGGTTAGAGTACACAAGTGAGGCAGGAGCACCAACCTTGTTCCTGAGCCTGGGAACCCACACTCAGTGCCTCTTCCCACCCCAGCCGTGGCCCCAACAGGCTCGGTCACTCTGGAGCATTGTGGCTCGGTGCACTGCTGGCAAGGAAAGAAAAGACAGACAGACACATTAAATGTCATTTATACTTCTCCCCAACATCACACTCCGTTGCTGTTGATGCCACCATTCAAACAAATGATCTAATTTATAGTTTCTGGGAACTTTTGAAAAAAACAATCCAAACCCCAGGTTACCTGAGATGATGCCGTTATATGTTTTAGCAGCTCTAAAAAATTATATTTTGTCAAAACGAAATAGAATTTTGAAAGGCTTCATAATAGTTTGTACATCAGCCAGCCTCTCCAGATACAGTCATCACAAGGCTGCATTTGTGAATAGCTAAGCACACTCTGCAAATAATATCTCATTAAACCACCCACCTTCCCCAGGAAGAAGCTAGCAGCAGTAGCTTGCAGACTGCTTTCTTCTGCCGCAGTTGGGGGTGTTACTGCTGCCTTCAAGGAAGATTGAAGAAACTGTAGCCCGCTTAGGTTGGAAGTTCTTTTCACCTGCATGCTGTACCTCAGAATACATCCAGAACAACATCTCTGCATTAGGGAGTGCATTAGGCCTTCCCCCTGTCAGGACCCAGTTTCCCTCTACAGCTAGCCACCACCCTTTGCAATCTTCACTGAGCCCTCCTTGGGGCCAGGTGCTGTGCTTGAAGGTGGGAGCCAGAGATGAAGGAAAACCACTCCTATTCTTAGTGGGCTTATTGTCTGGTGGGTGGGAAAGGCACAAGAGCAGGTTTTTCCAAAAGAATGTGGTCTATGGTTTATGGAAGGTAGGTCATAAATCCCCCGACCCCAGCTAGCTGTCAGAAAAGCCAGCTCGGCAGCCATCTCCATGACCCTTGTATCCCCAAGTCTATTGCAGATGCCGTGCATTAGCTAATCCTATTTCCAATTCTCTTTTCTTTGATGCTTCCTACTGGAGAGGCTGTATTTTTTTTTAAGATTTTATTTATTTATTTGACAGAGATCACAAGTAGGCAGAGGCAGACAGAGAGAGGGTGGGGGATGCAGGCTCTCCGCGGAGCAGAGAGCCCGATGTGGGGCTCGATCCCAGGACTCTGGGATCATGACCTGAGCTGAAGGCAGAGGATTTAACCCACTGAGCCACCCAGGTGCCCCGAGAAGCTGTATTTTTGATTAAGAGCTACAACCAGAGTAGCTCTTTGCTCTTTCTTGCCTTGATCACATTCAAGATGGCTGTAGCCACAGCAGCGATCTTGTGACCATGAGGGAAAAACTGAGAGAACTGCAGGTCCTTGTTGAGCCAGTGACCTAATGGCAGCTGCCTACTTAGACTTCTTGTCACGCAAGAAACAAATAACCTCTGTGTGTTTAAGCCATTAAACTTTTAGGCTTCTGGGACTTGTAGCCAAATGGATCCCTAACTGATACAGGCACCTAGTAGGCAGTCAAGAAATAGTGATTGAAGTCACAAATGATCACCTGAGTTGAATCTTAACAGATTGGGGTATGCTGGGGGGGGTATTCCAGTTAGAGGAAACTGAAATAACATGTACAAAAGCTTGAAGCAGGAAGCCATGAGGAGCTCACAAAGAAACCACAGACAAGTATTCCCCTGTTGCTGAAGTTTGAGGCAGGCAGTGGTTGAACATAAGTCCCTGCCTTTGCAGCATTTGACTAGAAGTCCCAGCATCTTAACTTCAGTGACTTCAACAGATAGAGGGTGTCTTTTCTTGCATGACAAAAAGCCTGAAAGTAGGCAGCTGCATTGGATCTGGAGAAGCAGACAACGACGGCCAGATTACAATAGTTTCCTTAGGTACAAAGAGAGTTCCAGGTTCCAGTGACCGAGAACTCTCCATGTTACCCCTGCCACTGCAGAATTATAGTCAGAACCACCATGCATTTTTCCTGTAGGTCACTGTATTAGTTACCCTTGCTGCTGTATAAATTAACCCAAAATTTAGCATGTTAAAATAATACATTTATTATCTCATAGTTTCTATGAGTTGGGAATATTTCTATACATTACTTAAGTGGGTCTTCTGGTTTAGAGTCTCTCACAAGGCTGCAGTCAAGATGTTCACAGGCCTTCGGTCTCATCTAAAGACTTGATTGGGGAATGGCCCACTTCCACGTTCACTAATGTGCTATGGGCAGAATTTCATTCCTCACAGGCTGTTCGCACCAGAGGTCCCCTTTCAGTTCTTTGTCCCAGGGGTCTCCCCATGAGGCATCTCACAACAGGACAGCCGGCTTCATCAGAGTGAGCAAACAAGAAAGCAAAAGGGAAGCCAGAGACTTTTTGTAACCTCTGTGGAGCGAAATCCCACTCTTTTGCTGTATTCTGTTTAGTAGAAGCAAGTTATTAGGCCCAGCCCACACTCAAGGGGAGGGACTGCAGGTGAGTACTAGGGGGTGAGGCTCACTGGGAGCCACCTCCTCTCTCCTCTTCGTCATGGGCAGCAGCTGCAGCACCCATTTCATTATTGGCATGATCATCGCCACAGCCACAGTAATTTATTAAATGCTTACTTTTAATAAAAAGTAAGACTTCTCATACATAGCTCATTTATCCTCACAACAACCCTGTAAGAGGATATCATATTATCCCCATTTTGCATATGAGGAAACTGCAGCTCAGAGAGGGACTTATGATTTGTCCCCCATCACATAGCCTAACTCCAGTAGAGCTCACCGCTTCAGGAGGGAGCATCTCAGAGACAGGAGAGCCATGTCTGCCAGCATGTCCTAGAGCCCAGGCTGTTTATTCCTTTCCTTTAACCTAAACCTGACCCTGAAATCCCCAGGTGGTGGAGACTGGAAGGTGGATGGTACCCTCAAAATGCTTCCGCCCTAGATAAAGGACAATAGGTAAAATCAGAAAAGATCTGTAGGTTAGATACTCATTCTGTAACAATCTTAATTTCCTGATTTTAATCATTGCTCTGTAGTTATATAAGAAAATGCCTTTGTTATTAGAAAACACATACTGAAGTACTTAAGGATAAAGAAGTATTATGTCTACAACTTACCCTTAAACACCTGAAAAAAAAATTACAGGTAAAAATGTGTGTGTGTGTGTGTGTGTGTGTGTGTGTATTGTGTAGAGAGAGAGAATGAGTGATAAACAAAATGTGGTAAGATGTTAACATTTGGGGAATCTGGGTAAAGGATATATAGGAATTCTTGGCTCAAATTTTGCAACTCTACTTGCAAATCTGAAAGTATTTTTAAATAAGTTGGTTTTTTTTCTTTTTTTTTTTTTTTAAAGTACCAGTCTACTCTGGGACATAGTGAGTTTCACTTGGACTATCAGAGATGACATATGGGGGTCTTACATACCTCCTTTTGATTTCAAGGTGACCTATCAGAGCCCAGGGAGGTTATAGAGCTTATAAGAAGAACATGGTCTCTGCATCAGGCTGTCTGCTTTCCAGTTGTGTAGCTTCTAAGGTCCCTGAGCTGGATAGGTGACCACTTAGGATTGTGGAAAGGATTTGGGGAGGTAAGGGGGTGACAACACTAAGTGACATAGTGTTGGGCACAGGTCCTGGCCCATGGTAAAGCCTCCGTAAATGTTGTTACTGTTATTACTGCCCCCTCAGTCACCTTATAAATGAGAAGTAATAGCCTCTGTATGCTTTAGGGATGCTGATCTGGACAGTTGTCTGGTGCCAGCTCTCTAACATCAGTTTTTGTCCCCATGAAGGCAGGGTGGCCACTGCCTCGGGTGCAGATGTGCCTGAGAAGATGAAGAGCCGAATCCCAGTGGTGCTCCTGGCCTGTGGCTCCTTCAATCCCATCACCAACATGCACCTGCGCTTGTTTGAAGTGGCCAGAGACCACCTACATCAGACAGGTCAGTCAGAGGGGCCAGGCCCAATGGACAAACTGATGGCTTGGGCCTCGTAGGGTTCTGCTATCTGTTGTCATCACCACCATTATTAAAACTGCTCAGTATCGGAATTCACAGCATAACTGGTGGCATACATTCCCCCATCATATTCGGAGAGCTAACCTCTTAGCCCTGTGATATGTGGACAAGTCCTATCCCTGGCCATAAAGTTGACAACTTGTCAGGCTCCAGTATCCCCTGCCACTTGTTGCCCACAAAGGCTAAAAAGACAATGGGCACTTTCTAGAAACTGTGTCTCTGGGAATTCTTCCTGATACTCCCAGGAAGCATTTACCTGCTTCCTGTGCAGCCGGATAAGGAGGTAGTGTGTGCCTCGCTACTCTTGTGTGTGTGCATGAGAACTCTTGCTGCTGTTCAGTGGGTAAGCAAACATGCTATAATGGGAATTTTGACATTTTCTTTGAATAGATCTTAGACAATTACAAATTAACAATCTTGCATATAGGGCATTTCCAATACAGATGGCATGGCTTTGCCAGAAATATTTCATCAGCTGGGAATATTTAATCTAGAAACGTTCCATCTCTGACTTTCCATTTCATTATTAAGTGAGTAAAATGGCATTTGGAATCTGCATAATTATTTCTAAAAAGAATGTAAATCATTTATATGTTGATGTCAGATACATATGGAAGTATTTATATATTTATGTATACCTTAAGTATTCATATATGTATTTTGTATTTTTGTATTCAAAAATATTTGCCTTTAAGGGCATTGTTTTTAAATCAGAATCAATTCCTATTTATTTTTAATGTAGAAAAAAAGTATTCCAGTAACATGCAAATAATTTCTTCAAAGAAATTATGTACAACTATTAGTTTATTTTAAAGGGAATGTCTTTGTATCAAAAGATGAAAGTGGGGGTGCCTGGGTGGCTCAGTCAGTTAAGCATCTGACTCTTGGTTTAAGCTGAGGTCATGTTTTCATGGGTTGTAGGATCAAGCCCCACCTACGGCTCTACACCTAGTGGGGAGTCTCCTTGAGGAGACTCTCTTTCCCTCTGTTTCTCCCTTCACTTGTGCACACACTTTCTCAAAGAATAAATCTTATTTATTTATTTAATTTTTAAAAAAATTTTATTTAATTTATTTAATTCCTTAAATCTTTCTAAATAATAAATCTTTAGAAAGGTGAAAGTGGGTATCTATCCTTAGTCAATACATAACTCTTACAAAGGAATAAAAAATCCAAACAATCCAGTGAACATTAGTAGCAGTATACCAGAGAAATATAAGTGACCAATAAACTTGGGAGAAGATGCTCAGTGTCACTGATAATCAGTGAAAATACAAATAAAAACATGGTCAACACCACAAAGTTATAAGTACCATGATGGCAGCTACTGTGGCTGCTTGAACATCACAGAAATTACACCAGCCATCACCAGGTTGTAGTCAGTGCTCAGTAAAAATCTGTTATAGCAGCAAATAGCTTTAGCCTGTGCTATTGGCAAAATTAAAGGACTGACAAAATCTAGTGGTGGCAGGATCGAGAGGGAAATAGACATTGTCATCTATTGGTAGTGATAAGATAAATGAAACATTTTTGGAGGGCAAGTTGGTGTTCTGTGGCAAAAAAATTAAAGTCTGTACACATACCCATAATGAGGAGAAAAATCAATTGAAACTGAAATAGAATTCCCACAGATGTTAGAATTAGCAAACGGCATTAAAACAGTTACTATAATTATGTGCCATATGCTCAGAAGTAGAGACCTGGAAGATATAAAAAGAGCTCAAATACTAAGAGATGAAAACTACAAGACGTGGGATGAAAAATACACCAGAAAGGATTAACAGATTAGATATTGCGGAAGAAAAGGTTGGTGAACTTAAAGATAGAACAGTAGAATTGATCTAAAATGAAACACAGTGGGAAAAATGGAATTCTGAAACGAAAGAATATAAATGAGATGTTGGGTAACTTAAAAGAATCTTGATATACTTGTAATCCTAGAAGGAAAAAAACAGAGGAAGAACAGGAAAAAATATTTGAAGAAATAATAACTGAAAAATTTCCAAATTTGATGAAAACAGATTCTATCAAGTAGCTCAAATTCCAGATGCAAGAAATGTGAAGAAAACAATACCAAGGTATATGATACTAAAATTTCTCACAAACCAACAATAAATCTTAGAAGCAACCACAGAACAAAAATAAATAGGATAGCAGATTTCCCATTACTGAATTCAGCAAAAGGGAATTTAGTGGAACAACATCTTTAAAGTACTGAAAGAAAAAAATTATCAACCTAGGATTCTATATCCAACAAAAAATATATCTTGTAGAAACAAAGGCAAAAAAAATTTTTTTTCAACTATATAAAAGCTGAAAGATTTCACCATCAGACTTTCACTACTGAAATGCTAAAATCCTTCAGACAGAGAGAAATGATACCAAATGGAAATATGGATCTACGCAATAGGAATACAAGGCACTGGTAACCACATGGGCAATTATGTAAGTTTTTCTCTTATTACTTAAACTTCTTTGAAAGATAAGTGACTGTTCAAACAAAAATAATAGGAATATATTGTGGGGTTTATAACATATGTAGAAGTAAAATATATGACAAGTATATAAGACATAAAACACATGACAATGTCATAAACATGGGGAGGGGAAAAATGGAAGACTATTGTAAGATTCTTATACGTGAAGTAGTATAGTATCATCTTAAGGTAGACTGTGCCATAGATTGATAGGTAGATAGATATAAAATAAACCCTAATACAACCACTTAAAAAAAAAGGTATAGCTAATAAGCCTACAAAGGAGATAAAATAGAATCAGAATATACTCAATTTAGAAGAAGAAAGGAAAGAAGGAAAGAGGACTGAAGAATAGATGGGGCAAATAGAAAGCAAATAACAAAATGACAGACTTAAATCTAACCATATCAGTAATCACAAAATAAAAGTACAGTTGACCTTTGAACAGCACAGATTTGAACTGTACAGGTCCACTTATACACAGATTTTTTTTTTGATGACTACAGTACAATTCTTTAAATGTATTTTCTCTTCCTTACAATTTTCTCCATAACATCTTCTTTTCTCTAGCTTGCTTTATTGTAAGAACATGGTATATGATACATACAACATATGTGTTATAATACATACAATACATATGTGTTAATAAACTTTTTGTTATCAGTAAGGTTTCTGGTCAGCAGTAGGCTATTAGTTAAGTTGGGGAGAAGTCAAACATTACATGTGGATTTTCAGTTGCTTGGGGGGTTGGTGCCCAGAAGTGTCAGTTGTAGTCTAATAACTCCTACTAAAGGGCAGACACCATCAGATTGGATAAAATAAGCAAAACCCAACTACAACTATATGATGCCTACAAGAATCACATTAAAATATAAAGACACAAATAGGTTCAAAGTAAAAGAATGGAAAACTACTCCATGCTGACACTAGTTAAAGCTGAAATGGCTATAGTAATATCAGAGAAAATAGATTTCAGATGAAAAAGGGATAAAGAGGCCAATTCTTTAAGAAATAATAATCCTGAGCCTTTTTTTACTTAATAACATGGAACTGCAAGAAAAAATAGATAAACCTACAATTACAGTCAGATATTTCAATTCTCACTGATAGAATAAGTACACAGAAAATAATTAAGAATGTAGAAGTCTTGAATGACACTATCAACCAATTTGACCTAGTTGACATTTAAAGAACACTCAACCAAACATCAGCAGAACACATGTTCCTTTCAAGGACACAGAATATTTACCGAAATAGACCGTATTCTGGACCATAAAAGAAATCTCAATAAAGGTAAAAGGATTGAAATCCTACAAAGTGCATCCTAGAATTAAATGACAAATCACTAACAAAAAGACCTCTGGAAGATCCCCTAATATGAAAATGAAGTAACACACGTCTAAAAACCCGTGGGTCATAAAAGAAAGTCAAATGGAAACCAGAGAATATTTTGAGCTAAATGGAGATGAAAATAATATATCAAAAATTTTGGGATGTCACTAAAGCAGTACTTAGGAGAATTTTATAGCACTAAATACCATATTAGGGGAATGAGGGAAAGAAGGGAAGAGAAAGCAAAAGGGAAGGAAAAAGAGAAGGAAAAAGGAAAGGGAAAAGATGGATGGATAAATAGCTCTCACATCAGTGACTTCAGCTCCTGTCTTAAGAAATTAGGGATGGGGGCAAACACAAAACAAGCATGAAAAAAAGTAAACAAGATCAGAGCAGACATCAGTCTGCTGAAACTTAACATACTAGAAAACAAACATATTAGGGAAATTTAATAAACCCATACCTGTTTCTTTAAGAATATTAATAAAATTGAAATAATAATAAAATTGAACCTCTAGACAGATTATCAAGGGAAGGAGAAAAGAGGAAAGACACAAACTACCATCGTCAGGAATGAGAGAGGTGATATAACTATAGATTCTACTGAGAGGAAAAAGATAAGGGAATATTATAAGTAACTTTATATCTATAAATTTGACAACCTAATTAGAATAGACAAATCCCTTGAAAGACACACTATCAAAGCTCATTCAAAATTAGATTTTTTTTAAAGAAGAAGAAGGATAATCAGCCGCCTATCACAACCCCAGTGCAGCAGCTCTTTCTGCCCACGGGTCCTGTCCCCGTGCTTTAATAAACTACCACCATTTTGCACCAAAGACATCTCAAGAATTCCTTCTTGGTCGTTGGCTCCAGACCCCACCCCCACTGAACCTCACTTATATTCTAAAACTTCATTATTTGGCACCCGAACATGGGGCTTTGAGTCTTTATATCTGGACTCTGAGCTTTGGTGCAAAATTGGAGCAAGAAGAGCACCCCCTGGACCTAACACCTTCCACTCTAGATTTTCCCACCAGTGTCTCAGGTTGGATCCACTGTTTGCTTATGACTTCTTGGTTTACCTTATGAATTTGCCAGAGCACAACTTGAAGT